GTCCCAAATAAAACACGTGGGAGGCTGGTCAGCTGAGTGTTTGTTGACTTTTGCAACAGTGCTGCGACGTTTGTGGCCACCAGGGGAGCTAGAAGTGAAAATTACAAGACTAGCGCCCCTAGTGGCCAAAAGTTACATGATGTGTCTTTAATGCCTACAGTAATGTTTAATGTCTTAATGTGTCTCTGAAGTTCAGGTCTAAATCCACCGCTACACCCAGATTTACGGCTTGATTGGTGGTGTCTAGATGAAGTAACTTATACTGTCTAAATGTTGTTATTTACAATAGCGATTTGATAACTGCTTTTTTCTGGGGATGGGGAAATAACACCAGGCAAAAGGGATATATTTTTTATTTGAGTAATGTGTATGTCTTCTTTATTTCACCAGCAAAACAACTTTTTAACAACTTTTTACTTATTACAGCTCTGACCATTGGGACAACCATCAACACTTTCTCATGAAAGCATAGGCTTCATTGAAAAAATTCTAGACAGCAAAGAGCATAAATATATAGGAAGATGTGAACAATACATCTATAGATAGGCCTACACACTAACCAAAAAATAAGAAAAATAGTTAATATCATCAGGGAGAGAAGGAAGATAAAAGTGAACTGTTTCTATGAACTTTCTAATATCGAAGGTTTTAGAGGCAGGCCGATATATTCCAATATTCATTTTTTGGCAAATATCGGACTAATTTCTGGAATAAATATTGGATCAAGATTACCCTAGCTGTAACACCATCCCTGAGGGAGGCATCAGCTGGGCTACAGCCATCAACAACTCCTGTTATACAGCAGATGGAGTTGATGGAGTTGGACCTGTTTTCAGGGCTTATTCTCATTTCCCTTTGAGACAGTATGGGTTCAGCTTTTACTGGGATTAACTGTATGTGCTCTCTTTCATTCTTATTGACATGAAAACCAGCTCAGAGTTAATCTGTTAAGTGTTTTTTTAACTCCTCAGTCAGCCTCGGCAGAAGACTGCTCCTACTGGAGCTTGTATTGAGGATTGTTCCTGTTTAAAAATAAAACAAAAAAAAACTTCTCTACATTTGATTCACGCATGCTCAGCATGAGGGATTCCTACAGATGCAACAACACAATGTAAGCAAATATCGACTGCCACCACATGCTCATTCAGGAGTGAATCCTGCAAAGTCAATAGATGCATGATGATGCAACCAGCTGGGATTCCCTAGATACAAAACTTTTAACCAGTTTGTCTGTGTTATTTGATTAAATTGTCTGTATAAAGTGCTTTGAGATAACATGTTGGGAATTGTCACTATATAAATAAACAGATTTGAATGAATTTAACAAATAAACTTAAACATCTCTGGCTAGAGGTAGCATAGATGATGCCAGATAAGTTCTCTAAAACATTTAGGAATGATGTCCTTGAGAGGACATGTGAATTTAATTGAATTCTGTAATCAATTTTAGGCAAGAGTTGCTGGACTCCTCCATTACCATCTGATATGCTGCTGCAACCACCAGGAAGAAGGGCAGGCTGCAGCTTATCATCTGCTCTGCAATGAATTTCATTGGCTGCAATGTTCCTTCTCTTCAGAAGCTGTTCTTGCCCACAACCAAAAGTAGAGCAGGAAAGATTGCACAAATTCCTATTTGTAATCCCCTACCTCTCTGGATACAAACTGTTTGAGCACCTCCCCTCTGGTAGAAGGTTGTAGTCAATCAGGACCATAACCACAACTGCCATCTTCCAATACAAGCGGCTTAGTTTATACTAAATTATGTATTTCCATTTTTTTGTGTTAACTGCTTGTTTGCTTGTTTGTGTTTAACACCTCATTGTGATGACTAATTCCTCTTTTTTGTGAAACCCTATTTGGCATTAAAGCACTTTGTGATTCTGACTGATATACTGGACTCTTACAAATATCATGGCTTTCTTCTAACAATAAACAAGACTAGAGTAACAACATTGATGCTCTTTACAAGAATGTTCATAGCAGAAACTGACAGGAAGAGGCTTTAGCGAACCTATTAGGAGGGTCATTTTTGTTATAGGATGCCACCTACTGTATAGACAGCGTAATTGACAGAACTGTTGCAAAAATAACATTGCTGTTAGATCTAATTTAACTTTATTTATCTCACATTGGAGAAATTTACCTCATCATTTAAGCCATTCCCTTGGGGAGCAGTGGGCTGCCATTTTGCGGCGCCGGGGAGCAGTGTGGGTTTAAGGGTCTTGCTCAGTGAGCCAAAGTGGCAGTCTGTGGGAGTGGGGCTTGACTCAGAACCTCAGGATTCCAAGCTCTATGCCCTAACTACTATGCCACCACTCCCCACTACATATGCATAAAACTGATGGAGCACTGGAGAGCTCATCCAGTGAAAGAATGATGAATCTTAAATGGAAAAAAGATAATACATTTTTATCTGCTCAATAAGTTTTAACATCCAAGCTTCTCAAAGGGTTTCTTGCTGCCATTTGTTGTTTTGTTCTTGTTTCTTTATCTTCAAGAAAAATAAGAGATGCAGATTTGATGTTCCTTGATGTTACCTGATAATGTTGGACCCTTATTTATGTTTAACCCAAGAATGCTCTTTTGGTAACCACATATTATATCTTTTTTTTGTAGTGTGTTTGTTTTATTTTACAGTATTGTCCACTCTTATATTTTGGCCTTGTTTATTTATTATAGCCTTTTACAGTTTTCTGTTCTTGTAACTTGTTTTAATGTTTTTCAGTGAGCTGCGATTCTTTTTTGCTTCTATTTAGATTTCTTTTGTCACTGACACATATTTTTTCTTGTAATAAAATATATATATTTTTTCCTTATAAACAGAAATAAGTTTGTTTCGCTAAGGTTTTCTCCTTAATCAATAGTCTATGAATTGATAAAAATATAAGCCAACAATGTTTTTATATTTTTTTTGTTTCAAGCAAGTGGTAAGTAAACTAGAATGGTGGCGCCACCAAGTGGGTGCTTACTCCTAGTTCCACTCTGAAATACGGAATTATTTTGTTTTGTTTAAAACTAGGAATAGATAGAAAATAGGGAGAATTAAAATACTTTAAAGAAATAGAATTTTCTAAATTTTAAAGGGGTCAATGAAATAACATTTAGCTGATTTGCTATCTAAAGTTACCCACAAAACACAAACTTGCAGGAGATGCGGCAGGAAGGATATGCTGATTTTTGTATGTTACCTGTAAGTTTCATGTGCCACTTCAGCATCATACCTAAATAGAACTGTAATTTAGCTTTTGGTTTTGGAGTGCTAATCCAAGATTATTATGTTCAAAAGATGTCAAGCAACAAAATACAATACTGTGTTTCCTGACTTAAAGGTATGGTTGAGGATTTCCATTAATTTTTTTAAAGACCCGCCCTCTCCACTTTAAAAAAAAAGTGCATACAGAACCCTGTACCCGCTCCTGAGAGGGAATGCTTATTAAATGTGTGCAAGAGCATGCACAAGCCCATTTCTCCTCGTGCAGGCTCTGTTTAAAAGTTGCTGTTTGCATCACTCATACAGGCTTACTTTCTAAAAGAAGATTGCAATTTATCCACTATGACAGACTCACCACCGGTAAGTGAAAATAGGGACGAGCACGCAGGACGACCTTACATAAACATATCTCCAGAATGATTGACAATTAGGAGGACCACTTATTATGAAGATCCACCCAGAAAAAAAAAATCCTCCACTATACCTTCAAGAATCCAAGTAAAGAAAATGAACTAAATTGCACAAATAGGCCCCAGCTGGAATTTGAACCATCATCTTCTTCTATCATAGCAGAAGCCAATAAGCTCCATAATCTATAGATTATGGAGCTTATTGGCTTCTGCTAAGTTGTACAGTACAGTACAATTGTACAGTTGGTAAGTTGTATATGGCCTGTCCTTTTGTAAGTATTTATCAAATCTGAGGACCCCATAGTGATTTGCACAACATTTGACTGACAAGTGAGGCTGCAATAGAGTCGCTATGATGTTGCTGTATTCTGAAGTCCGACACTGTAGCTTTACATATTTTCAAAAATATCTTTAAAAGTAAGTTTTACCAAGTTCTGTACTGCCATAGAACTTGGAATAGAGAATAAAAAAAGCTACTATTTATTGCAAAATTGTTGGCAAGATGGAATTTAATGATCATTTTTACTAAGAAGTTACATTTTTATAAGGTTTAGGTAAAGAAGAATTACAAAAAGGTCTAATGAACACAGAATCCCATGTTGGTAAGTCAAAAGCATCTTTAAAATGCCAAATCTGCTTGCATAAACGGGTAATAATAACTGCAGTTAATCTGCACTTCTCCATATTATTTAGCTCATTAAACGTTTTACACACAAAGGTGGATAATCCAGGTCCTTAAAGTAAAAACCTCACCTAGTTTTCCTACATCCTTTTCACTTATACAGTTAATAAGTACCTAGTGTGCCTTTTGCAGCTTCAAATGGTTGAGGCTAAAAATGCACTTTTTTTTAAGTGGAGAGCGAGGGTCTTTTCAAAAATTTGTGAAAATTCTCCAATATACCTTTAAGGTTTCTTAGCTTCCTCCACTATTCTAAAAAGAAGCAGGTGGGTTATTGAAATTGCCCTTAGGTCTGAGAGTATTCACAACGTCTGTCCTACTATCTTGTCCAGGGCATATTGAGCCTCTTGCTTAATATGAGATAAATGGTCTGTGCAATGGTTAGCAATGACACTAGATGTCCCTCTTACACAGCACAGTTTTTCCTGCAGCTTTACCGCATTCCCCTGTCATTTTCTACTGCCTTAAAAATAGACAGCTTGGAGGGCACACCAGTGTGGATGCATACCTGTCTCTGACCTGACATGCTGACAAGTCTAACATTTAAAAGCCTTCCTCCTGTTTTTCTCCCCCTGCTGACATGTCTATACCTGCTCTCTCCACCTCCAAGGAGCTTATTCTAATCCTTGCATGGTGATTTGCTGATCTCTTTGGGGTGCTGGGTGCCCACTGTTCAATCTGATTGGCCTTTGGGTGACCCTGCCGGTTTGAGGGGGGAGCAGGCCTCCACTGTAACCACAAAGAGAAAGTAATGCTGTATGTATGACAGGGATAAGTCAGATGGGAGCAGTTAAAAAGAAAACAGGAAGAAAATAGGAGAAGAAGTAAAAATATTTGCAGGGAGCTCATAGAGAGATTTTATATTTTGATTGAAACACCCAACAGTGGACGGTTTAAACAGGTAGGTGTTACATTATGTTACTCCTGAAAGCCAAAAAGTACAGAGACCTCTTCCTTAAGTGTCTGATTGAATGTTTTCTAAAAGTAAGATGATGTCAGTCTAATCCTTCGTTTGTCTTTCTCAGAGACTCTTTTGCGTGGAAACATGTCAAAGCATGTGTGTGTGTTAGCATTTGTATTGGTATGTAATCAGTTTCCTTTCTCTTCTGTTTGTTCAGACATGAATAATCGCTCTATCGCCTGGTGGCTGAGACAGATTGAACTGCCACAGTATACCAAGACTCTAGAGAGTGAATATTATGGTCTAGAGGTATGTAAAGGTTCAAAAGGTATCTGTTACTGCTTGCTGGGATGTACATTTTTTTTTCTGCTGAGATGGAATCCTCACTTCAATCCGGTGTAATTCCTCTGCTGGCTCTTATTGTTGTCTCTCTTCAGGGTTTGCTGTATGTTACGGATGGAGAGCTGAAGGATGCTGGGATAGAAGATGCAGCACACAGAGAAACAATCCTCGCTCAGCTTTCAAAGGATCGACACAAACTGGACCCGCTTTCTGGTCAGGCACTAAGGACACACACAAACTAATTCGTGAAAACGAGTTTTGCTTAAAAGGTTTTTGTATTTTTTTTTAACCTAAAATCATAAAAAAAATGGCACCCCCAAAATATACAGATATATAAAAAAAATCTAACTTTTGCTTAAAATAAGGAATCTGTCCACTATTACCAAGATAATAATAATAATAATAATAGATTTTATTTGTAACGCACCTTACATTTCAAAGAAATCTCAAAGTGCTACAGAGACCAAAAGAAGAAGAAAAAAAAAAACAAAGACAAAAATAATAACAATAGTAATAATAAAAACAAAGAACAAACTGTAGGGCTTACAGCAATACATCCTACACCGAGCGGCACCAAAAACCAACAAGTGAAACCAACAATTAAAACTACAAATTAATCTCAAAGTGCTACAGAGATTAAAATAAAAAAATAAAAAAAATAAAGATAAAAATAATAATAATAGTAATAATAAAAAATAAAGAATAAATTGTAGGGCCCACAGCAACACGTCTCGCACCAAGTGGTACCAAAACCAACAATTGAAACCAACAATTAAAACCACAATTTAAAACAAAACTTACAGTTCTAAAAGGCCTGTTTAAAATGGTGAGTCTTAAGACCTTTTTGAAAGGCCTCCACACCTTGTGGGGCTCTCAGGGACTCTGGAAGGGCATTCCAGAGCCGTGGAGCTACTGCCTGAAAAGCCCTATCCCCCATAGTGGCAAGTTTGGTCTTAGGTTGATGCAGGCAGTAAAAGGAGGTGGAGGAACGAAGCCTACGAGAAGTAGCGTGCGATGAGAGCAGTTCACTGAGATAGGCAGGAGCAACTCCATGGATGCATTGATAGGTAAGCAGACAGAGTTTATAATGTATTCTATGTTTGATCGGTAGCCAATGAAGTGAATTAAGAACAGAAGTGATATGGTCGTATTTGTGCCTCCTCATCAGGACCCGGGCAGCACAGTTCTGAATGTGCTGGAGCTTTTGCAGGTTTTTTACCAGAGGTCCCAAAGAGGAGGGCATTACAGTAGTCCAACCTTGATGAGATAAAGGCATGGATCAACCTCTCAGCATCCGGTTGAGAGAGGGAGGGGCGGAGTCTGGCAATGTTTTTGAGATGGAGGAAGGAGACTTTAGAAAGATGAGGGATGTGGGAGTTGAAAGTGAGGTTAGAGTCAATCCTAACTCCAAGGTTTGTGACGGTGGTGGAAAAGGGAATGTTAAGACCAAATATTGAAATACTACTGAGATTAGAGGACTGAGTTTGATGAGGGGTGCCAAGAAGGATGACATCCGTTTTATTACTGTTAAGTTGAAGAGAGTTGGCAGTCATCCATGCCTTTATCTCCTCTAAGCAAAGCTGAAGTGAAGACGGAAGAACTGTAGGAGAAGTGGAGTCCATTCTCATATACAGTTGTGTATCATCAGCATAGCAGTGAAAGGAGACCTTGTGTTTATTGATTATGTGACCTAGGGGGAGCATATAGATGGAGAAGAGGGTAATACTTAGATGTTTTGTGGACATATTATAACCCTTTTAACATTTCCAAATGTTTTCACATTAAAAACATGAATGTCAATGCCAAAAACATTTTTGAGAAGTTAAAGAGTCATATTTGAATGACTTGTAAAGTGCCTTGAGATAACATGTGTTGTGAATTGGCACTATATAAATAAACTGAATTGAATTGAATCCCTGTATGACCGGTGTCAGAGTCTGATCCGCATTGCCGGCAGTAAGTCGGGCTCGTTTCTGGTGAGAGTTGGACTCCCCCAGGGCTGCTCTTTGTCACCGATTCTGTTCATTACCTTCATGGACAGAATTTCTAGGCACAGCCAAGGTGTTGAGGGGATCCGTTTTGGTGGCCTTAGGATTGCGTCTCTGCTTTTTGCAGATGATGTGGTCCTATTGGCTTCATCGGGTCGTGATCTGCAGCTCTCGCTGGATCGGTTCGCAGCCGAGTGTGAAACGGCCGGGATGGGGATCAGTGCCTCCAAATCCGAGGCCATGGTCTTGAGCCAGAAAAGGGTAGAGTGCCTTCCCCGGGTCAGGGGGGGTGTCCTGCCCCAAGTGGAGGAGTTTAAGTATCTCGGGATCTTGTTCACGAATGAGGGAAGAAGGGAGCGGGAGATCGACAGGTGGATTGGTGCAGCATCTGCCATGAAGCGGGCGCTGTACCGGTCCGTCATGGTGAAGAGAGAGCTGAGTGAAAAAACAAAGCTCTCGATTTACCGGTCGATCTACGTTCCTACCTTCACCTATGGTCATGAACTCTGGGTCATGACAGAAAGAACGAGAGTGCGGATACAAGCGGCCGAAATGGGTTTCCTCCGTAGGGTGGCAGGGCTCTCCCTTAGAGATAGGGTGAGAAGCCCGGTCAACCAGGAGGGACTCGGAGTAGAGCTGCTGCTCCTCCACGTCGAGAGGAGCCAGTTGAGGTGGCTTGGGCATCTGGTTAGGATGCCTCCTGGACGCCTCCCTGGTGAGTAGGAGGGAAGACCCAGGACACGCTGGAGAGACTATGTTTCTCGGCTGGCCTGGGAACGCCTTGGGGTTCCTCCTGAGGGGCTAGAAGAAGTGGCTAGGGAAAGGGAAGTCTGGCCTCCCTTCTTAAGCTGCTGCCCCTGCAAACCGGCCCCGGATAAGCGGAGAAAGATGGATGGATGGATGGATGAATTGAATTATTTTACAGAAATATTGGAAAACAGTTTCTCTAGGATCCCTAAATAAAACATACTGCAAACAGCTTTCCCTGATTGCCTAATCTAGAAACTGTCTGTCTAATTTAATGTCAGTATAAATCCAGGTGATCTATGAGGGTCTTAAGAGTCTGTTAGAAAAAAGTCTCAAGAGGACCAGGAAAATAACACAGTGAACCTCTCCAAGGAAAATTACAAAGAACATCTGGGTTTAAAATAGATAATCCCACATTTTAAACAACCTACAGAACATTGTCTAGTCAAACTAGCTGTAAAGAGTATGGCAAATCAATGACAGTTGTAGACTAGACAGAAGAAAGAAGCCAACAGTCAGATATACATCTAATTGAATATCTTGTATGAGACATTAGAACTGCTGTTCGCAGATGTTCTAAATTAAATCTGTGATTTTAAGTGAGTTGTTAAAGAAGTTTGTCCAAGCATTCATGACTCTAGGAGAGAAAATCAGTTCAAGGCCTTTGTCAAAAGATTTGCAGCTACCATCTTAGCAAATGGTTGTACAAACACATGGACTTGGGGGGAATAAAGGGCAAATGTTTGTACTGTTTGTTTTATATTTAATATGAAAGAAGCTATGAAACTGAATCCTTCCATTTTAAGCATTACTTTGTGTTGCTTCATCACATGAAATCATAAAGAAGGTACATTAATGCTTGTGATTCTATATGGACAAAATGTTCTGTAAGTAATTAAGTGCCTGTTTTATGGGTCATGATCAGCTTTTTAAGGGAGAATCATAGAGCACAGAGCAATGAGCGAGATTCATCATATCTGACACACACAGCATTGCTCAGCAAGTTTACAGGCAGACTGACCAGATGGAGGAAAAGCAGATGTAGAGGTTTGTAGAGAAGATTTGTCAAGATTTAATGGCCATCTGAAGTATCTGCAGTCTGCTTTTTAACTCTCGCTGAAACTGCACCCCTTTCAAAATCAATATTTGTTTCAGCTATTCCTCATTTTATAAAAGCCTAGAGCAGGTTGAGCTGTAAACTGGTTTAGTGTTGCCTGGAGAAGCAGCACACAATGACTCACTGGTGATATTCTGACTCATGTTAACAGATGATATTAGCCAATAGATTTTTAACGTGACTTGTTCCTACTTTTAATAGACTGTTGGGACACATACATGTATTTTTAAAACAGGAGAAGTTTGGAGCTTTTATTATTTCTTAAACTTTTATCTCTGTCAACTCCAGCTGTCTTCAACACCCCGTGTTCTTTATTCCTGACTGTACAGCAACAGAAGGGTCCAACAACTCTTTAATCCTTGATAGCTTCCAGATGATATGCATCAATTCTTTGTACTGTTTGTAACTTTTTCTGAAATTAATTTCAAATACTGAAGCACAATAACATCAGATATGACTTTCCCATGAAAATGTATCTTCAATGTGCTCACTAAAACAAGCAACCTCTGTATTTTATTTATAATCAAAAAACTGGAAACCAAGCAGATGGGCGAGGGGAAGACATGCAGCAATTGGTTTGTGCCAGTAGCCAAACTCACGACAGCTGTGTTTAGGACTTCCAAACTTAGCATATGATTCACCTACTGGCCCATACAGCAACTCATTTAAAAACTCTAGTTTAAAGGGTCATAAGGTGATAGAATATGTTATTTTTTTTTTGATATACTCTAATAATCCCAGAGGGAAATTACTTCTCTGCATTTAACCCATCCCCTTGGGGATGCAGTGAGCGGTTAAGGGTCTTGCTCGGGGACCCAGAGTGGCAGTCTGTGGGAGTGGGGGATTGAACTCACAATCTCAGGATTGAAAGCCCTATGCCCTAACCACTAGGCTGCCATAAAGCCGTATGGGAAATTATAGACAAGATTGTAGTGAACAAGACAATAAAGGATTTGATTAGAAGTTATGCCTAAGTCTCCAAGGAAATAGTTTCAAACTTATTAAACTTTTCATTGTAAATTTCCTATGATTTAGAGCCCTTAAAACGGAAAATTAAACTGAGTTTTCCTTGCCTCTGACCAACCTGTAACAATCTACTGCAGGTCATCATGGAGAGAGAAGTTTTTCACAAGCTTTCCTCATTTACTAGAATAAGAAATATTTTGGTTTCAGTTCATAGATATAGCAGCACTGTATGATCTTAAAGCCACTTTATCCACACAAGAAAAAAATTAATTCTACAGTACAAATTGCCTGTAAAATTAAAGTCATCTTAATGTCTAATCCAATATTTTTTTTATTGAAAAATGCTATCATTTATAATATAAATTGCCAAAATAATGCTAATGAAACGCAGTTTCATCAAGTTACTGACTTTGCAGCAATCCCTCCACTTGCATCCAATGCTTCAACTGAACGAGTCCCTGGGTTATTAAGAATTATTCACAGTAGGAAAATGTGCACACTGGGATTTTGTGAAAGCTAATGAATACCTACCTTAACGTACATGAAGTTGTTTCCAACAAAAATTAGTAAGCTAAAGGCTATTAGCCCAAATAATCAATTAGCTTATCATGTTTTCATACTATGGTATTCTTAATGCACTGCCCACTACGAAAATTTTTTAAATCAGCTTTAGTTAATGTTTAATAAATATTTCCTGTCTTTTACTGAAATCCCCAAAAAGTAGGTGTTGTAAATTACATGATTGTAAACACAATTATTGATAAAAGCATAGAATTCTATTGGCTATGAGAACAAAAAAAACTATAAAATGTGAATATTATGTCATCAACACAGTTTAATTAACAGGTTTTATGTCTGCTTGCTTTAATTTCAGTTTTACTTAAATATCTCTTTCAAAGGGCTTGTTTTTTCAAGATTTTAAATGATTGAATTATTCTTAAAAGCAACATTTTACTGAGATCATTTCTGCAGAGCACGATAAACATGTTTATCAAGCCATTTCGTTAGGTCTTTATTAGCTGTTGGTTTTAAAGGAGGTCAAATGCCTTAAATACAAATGACAGTTTACATTTAGAAATACATTTCCTTCTTCCACTGTGAATTTGTAAGTGAAAAGTAAATATAACATTCAGACCAGCTCAGTTCAAAAAGACGGTAACAAACAAGCTGTTTCTTTCTCTTCTGTTACAGCTTCCTGTTTGCCAGACAGATATGAGAGTGGTATGTATGCTTCCTTCTGAAAGAAATATATTGGCCGAGCCCAGAGTCTCAAACCTACCTAATGACTTTTCTCCTTGTCAGATTATCAGGTTGTGAAGCGCAGAGTCAGTCGAAAATATTCCCTGGGATCATCTGATGCGGTAAGGTTAAAATTTATTTTAATCTCAGATGCTGTCACAAAAGTCATACAATATATTGTTTTTAAAATGTAATTCATCTAAAAAAAAATTATGCATCAGCTGTTCATACATTTACATTAAACAGTTGCCATTTCTAATCGGTCCACTGAAATCAATCTCAGACAAATGTCGGAAAAACCTCTAGAAATCTACATGCACCAAAAAAAAAAAAAAAAAAAGAGAAAATTAAGCAAAATCTACAATTTAAGATGGGGGAAATTATAAAAATGACACAGAGATTAATGAATAACTAGGAAAGGATGTAGGGGGGGAAAGCATAGAAGGCCAAGAAACCATCTGTTAAGAGCACAGGGTCTCTTTTCCATATTTTTAGTTTAGGAATACTGTTTTAAAAAATGCGTTTTCTAAAGTGAAACTTAGGGACAAATTGGCTCTGCAAAAGTTCAATACTGTAAATAAGTGTACATTCAAAACACTAACCATCACCCATACGCATGTCCTATATAAGGATATTCAATTCTGGTTTTGTGTAGATAATTAGATTTAAAAAAAAACAGTACAACATGATATGATACACTTGGCCGATATAATTATCTTACAGTTTAAAAAGTTCTTTATTACAATTGGCAATAAATTGTAGGAATGACCCAGATTCAATGCAAAAGACTTGACCATAAACAATAAGTACACAGAAGCATATTGTAAGATTTATGGAGATAATTTCAACAAGTCAGTACATTTGTTGGAGAATACAATCTGCCAGATGAGACCAAGACAATTGTCCCACACAAGTAGCAAAGAAAACTATTGTTTGGTTCCAGATAAAATAAAGTAAAACTGGAAGAATTACCCAGTCAGTCAGCTGACTTTCATCCAAATTAACTGTCATATCTGTCACATCACATTTAGTTAACACATGTGGTGTTTCCAAATTTGCAGCTTCATACTGCCAGAATTAGGTAGCATCAGGTTAATGATGCTACTGTCTGTCATTACAACTGTTTTATATGAAAGGATAGACCCTTTCAAAGGTTTAAAGAACAACAGCTTCAATTTGTTTTTTTGTTTTTTTTTGTTTTTTTGATTATTTGAATGTAGCCGGGTAAAATAGTTAAAATTAATGGAAATCTTTGAAGTTTAGAGTGCATAGAAAGGGCCCTTGAACTCTCAAAATCTAAAGAGAGTTTGTGTGGAAGAAAGGTCAGAATGTCACATAAGCAAGTAACTGTAGCTCACCTCTTATTCCCTGCACCATTTCACTTCATTAAACATAACTTCCTTCATGGACTAATATATATACTTTGATTGTGGTTTGCATTTGCATAATTGTTAACATCTGGCTGAATTTTTTTGACAATGACCCATTCAAAAATCTTCAAGCTAACAAAGAAACTGTGATGTTATTTTAAGAAATAAAACTCTAAAATGTTAATCTTGTAACCCTTTTTTTATGGGCAAGCCAAAGGATCTGTTCCGTCAGAGCGTTCTCCCTCGTCTCCAACGCGCCGACAAGAAACACCGGTTGTCCTCTTCCTGCTCACAGCTTCGCCCTCTGGACGAGGACAACACTCTCAGTCACGAGGGCAAACACAGGTAAGTTCAAGCCCAGTGTAGAAATGCCTGTGGTTATAGGGTATACCCTGACTTTCTCTTTTGAATCTGCACATCTGGCTAATAAGTAACAAGTCTCTCATAAAAGTTGGGAGACTTTGTAAGCTGAAGATAGCTATTCATGGAAAATCTGAAAAGCCTCCACATGAAGAGTGATTTGGTTTGTAAAACATTAACTGGTACTTCAACAAAGAGATAAAACACTCATAAAAACATTTTCATAAGTAGCTCACTAAATTTACTATCGTGTATCAAGTGTGTTTCTGTTGCTCACACTAAAGTTCAGGCTCAGATTAAAGACACTGAAGTGGTTGAATTCATCATTCCCATTCAAACTAGGGTTTAAACTCATATATAAGAGCAGCTTAGGGAAAATTGAAAGAAAAAGACAAAGCAGCAAAAACAGACATCTACTTAAAATAAGAATCTTTACTGAATCTACAAAGTTATTGGACAATTTTTCTGAATGATAGGATGAAACCCCTTTACTATAAAAAATGTCCAAAGCAATGGGTCACATTAGATAAATGAAAACATTTTTAAGTTCTTTAAACTGAAAAAGCTTCTGTGAAAATTTTGTTGTGGTCCTGATGAAAGAATGTCCACTTTTGACTTTGGATGCTATTTTTTTGTCCAGTTCTCAACCCTTTTCACAAAAAACCTATTGTGACATAAGCATAAAGCCTTTAATATAAATCATCTTCATCATACAAACATTAGATAAAAGTAATTTCTATATGAAATAACAAAGAATTGAGCAAGGACCTGTTTTGAATGATCCATCATTAGGAAAGAAGACCGAAAATAATGTTTGCAGTATCTAAAGAAACAACTCTATCAAGGAGAGTGATTCAGCTAAACTCAGTACATATAGCTCAAAATAATTTTCTAAAATTTTAAATTGGTTATTTACTAAGTTGCTAGTTAATTATTTACAGCACTGCTTTAGCAAAAACAGTCAATGGAAAACAGCTTCTGGAAACTTGATCAACTATCGTTATAGACATTGAAACATCAACAACACACATTCTCTTAGCTGTTAGATGTTGTTTAATTGTTTTAATGCTGTTCTATTTTTGCTTAAAAGCTGAAGTTTTAAAGTACTTATTTAAAAAAAAAATATAGGAGTCTCAGGAAGTTTGAATTGTAGGTGTCAAAGTCAGATGTTTAACACCAGCAGTGACAGCAAAAGACCAATATGGCTGCCTTGCATGCATATTTTGCGACTGTCACTCCCTTCTGAAAAATTACGTTTAATGAAATCTGTAGACAGAGTACATCTTAGTAAAGATGATACTATAGCGTTTGTTAGAAAAGCATTCTAAAGAATCTATAATTAATATTTGCTTAAAGAGGACTTACAGGCTTATCTAATGATACTGCCACCTATGTCCAAAACACAGAACTGCAGCACTGCTATGCTTGGTCTTGTAGCATGTGCTTGTACTTGAAATATTTGTTGTTGTTTTTTTACTTTTTCACAACATGGAGATGCCAGTGGTGTCTGGTATCTACAAAATACATCTTGAATATAACGCTTCGATTGTTTGCTAGGTCAGACCCATTCAACATGGACATTCTTCGACGTCACAGACGTCACAGACACCAAACAGCGTCGGAAATTCTGAACCAAAGATAAATTCAGGAAAATAGGCTACAGGCGTTTAGATGCATCAGCGCTGAACAACTGAGGAGTCTGTCTGCTCATCATACGGTGTTTTAGTCATAAAGGGTCGAGAAAAAAAAGGCTATTGTAAAGATATACTTCAGTAAAAAAATTACACAACGTTTCTTCAAGGTCATAGTATTTATCTTGGTCAGTGAAGAAAGCAAATGGCAAGTCCTAGTGTTTTTTTTACTTGGGACTATTTTATAAGAATTTTGGTATCAGTTTCATTTTCAGATTAAAGCATCAGCTAGAATTAGAGAAATTAAAATTTGAGAACTATGGAACAGACCATTTTAAAGGTTTGAGAGAAACAATGGCTCACTGGAATCATAATATAAGGAATGACTCCAGAGTTTTGCACATCCCTGAATTGACCTCTGATATTTGAGAAGGCAACTGCATGTGATGTTTTCTTTTCACCTCATAAAACTCTTAGTAGTCCTTCTTTGACATACTATCCAGTAAGAAGGTTTCTTTAAATGCAACTTTTGTCACTCAGAAATACTTTGAATTGAATTGCAGGAAAAAGGAACCAAAAGAAGCAAGCAAGATAATCTAAGAGATAATCTTGAATTTCTTCCTTATAGAGTTTAAAGAATATATTTTCACAGTTTACTTTTTTCAACACATTCTTTTGCTTTCAATAGTAAATGGAATTCCATTCCTAGAGCGAAAGGTCGAGGAAATCCTAAATAGAAAATCCTGTCCTTTTAAAGAGACAATAACTAACCTAAGTCAGAATGTAGACTGTCATGCCCGGTACAGATTTCACTAACGGATTTGTATTATAACACCAATTCAGTATGAGTGTAAAGTAAATTCAACACGTAATCCAATAATACCATACTTCCATTAAATCAAAACACTGGTTCTTTGGGATGAACTCTATGAAATCTTGTAACCACATCCTGTATTTAGTAATAAGCCTTGAGTAATGGAGAAATAAATGGTTCAACACAAGATGTAGCTAGATACCCAAGGAGCTTATTTAAATGAGTCATTGTTTGTTTGAGTAAATGCCATTGAGTACAAACATTAGGAGCGGCAGGATAAAGCCATTCAACAATATTACTAACACTAACAAAACATGTTATCAAAAGAGCCTTTTTAGGATCTTGAAGTGACCTGACGCGATTAATATGATAGTTTTTAAATTACAAACTACATGGGATAAAAATAAACTTTAGTAAAGCCCCAAATTATTCCAATTCAAGGTAGATATATACTCTATATACTTGTCAAATATTTTTAATTAACACTTTTAATTAATATTTACAGGTGCTGGTCATAAAATTAGAATATCATGAAAAAGTAGATTGATTTCAGTAATTCCATTTAAAAAGTGAAACCTCTATATTATATTCATACATTACATACAAACTCATATATTTCAGATGTTTATTTTGTTTAATTTTGATGATTACAAATGACAACAAATGAAAATCTCAAATTCATCATATCAGAAAATTAGAATATTGTGAAAAGGTTCAAAATTGATGGCCCCTGGTGCCACACTCTAATCAGCTAATTAACTCAAACCACCTGCAAAAGCCTTTAAATGGTCTTTCAGTCTAGTTCTATAGGCTACACAATCATGGGGAAGACTGCTGACTTGACAGTTGTCCAAAAGACGACCATCGACACCTTGCACAAGGAGGGCAAGACACAAAAGGTCATCGCTAAAGAGGCTGGCTGTTCACAGAGCTCAGTGTCCAAGCACATTAATAGAGAGGCGAAGGGAAGGAAAAGATGTGGTCGAAAAAAGTGTACAAGCAAGAGAGATAACCGCACCCTGGAGAGGATTGTGAAACAAAACCCCTTCAAAAATGTGGGGGAGATTCACAAAGAGTGGACTGCAGCTGGAGTGAGTGCTTCAAGAACCACCACACACAGACGTATGAAAGACATGGGTTTCTGCTGTCGCATTCCTTGTGTCAAGCCACTCTTGAACCACAGACAGCGTCAGAAGCGTCTTGCCTGGGCTAAAGAGAAACAGGACTGGACTGCTGGTGAGTGGTCCAAAGTCATGTTCTCTGATGAAAGTAAATTTTGCATTTCCTTTGGAAATCAAGGTCCCAGAGTCTGGAGGAAAAGAAGAGAGGCACTTCATCCACGTTGCTTGAAGTCCAGTGTAAAGTTTCCACAGTCAGTGATGGTTTGGGGTGCCATGTCATCTGCTGGTGTTGGTCCATTGTGTTTTCTGAGGTCCAGGGTCAACGCAGCCACATACCAGGAAGTTTTAGAGCACTTCATGCTTCCTGCAGCTGACCAACTTTTTGGAGATGCAGATTTCATTTTCCAACAGGACTTGGCACCTGCACACAGTGCCAAAGCTACCAGTACCTGGTTGAAGGACCATGGTATCCCTGTTCTTAATTGGCCAGCAAACTCTCCTGACCTTAACCCCATAGAAAATCTATGGGGTATTGTGAAGAAGAAGATGCAATACACCAGACCCAACAATTCAGAAGAGCTAAAAGCCACTATTAGAGCAACCTGGGCTATCATAACACCTGAGCAGTGCCACAGACTGATCGACTCCATGCCACGCCGCATTGCTGCAGTAATACAGGCCAAAGGAGGCCCAACTAAATACTGAGTGATGTACATGCTCATACTTTTCATGTTCATACTTTTCAGTTGGCCAACATTTCTATAAATCCTTTGTTTTTATTGGTCTTCAGTAATATTCAAATTTTCTGATATGAATTTGAGATTTTCATTTGTTGTCATTTGTAATCATCAAAATTAAACAAAATAAACATCTGAAATATATGAGTTTGTATGTAATGTATGAATATAATATACAAGTTTCACTTTTTAAATGGAATTACTGAAATCAATCTACTTTTTCATGATATTCTAATTTTATGACCAGCACCTGTAGCTTTTGGAGTAGCACAGCCAGAGTCCTCAAAAGTTTAGGGTGAGAAAGCCTTCCAAGCTTTGGTCAAAATGTACTGGTGATCAGCAAAAAGCTGGTCAGCAGTTGTAAGAAGAGTTTGATTGTTGTAATGTAAATAAAGATTTTTTATTCTGATTATTTAAGACTATATACGATTTTTGACATGCAATGTTTTTTACTAGAATGTAGTCCAGGTTTGGATAACTTTTATTTAGTCAAACAGTGTTGACAGAGACGATGTACAAATCTTCAGAGTGTAGTGAAAGTGTATTAGTGCTGCAGTGGACTAATGGGATCCAAAGCATGAAGGAGTGTGTGTATTTGAGGAAGTTTGGAGAGCTATGGAAGAGTGATGGTTGCCGTGAGTGTTTGAAAGTGTTTGGAGTAAGATCTTTAAATCAATAGTCT